CGTGGTGAGTGTTAATTATTAGGTAATAGATAGCGTTTGCTAACTTACTACTTACAACATTGTCACTACTGAAGATCAATTGTTTGATGTTCGTTAATTGTTTATGGTAAATGTTCGTTAGTCGTTCATGTTTAATGTTGTATGTTTATATGTTTGCTGTGTTTTAGAACTACACTTTGTGCCATCAAGGTACAAAAGTAATTTGCGGTGGGAGTAGTGTAACAGTGCCCAGTTAATATGTAACAGGGCTTCGTTAATATGTAGAGTAGGTAATTACAGAATTACAGAAAACTAAAATGGTAAAGTATAATGAGCCAACACCCCGGATAACGCTTCGGATGTTTGTTGGGAAGAACACCGGGGTGGAAGCTCGTAGAAGACAGGAAGTGCGTAGTCGAGTAACGTAGTGCTGGGTACACGTGTGACTACACGTGGGGGCGACATGATTTGTAAATGTCAACTCGATCTTGGACACAACAGCTATATCTGATATAAAGATATGCTGATCGAAATATTCGTTGCACCACACGCTGAAACAAGCGGGAGAGCAGTAATATCTTACAATCATATGTAAATGTATCGTCGTTCGAAATGACCGCGTTGAACCTTATTCTATTAATATGTTAACGAGGTGAACGATGGACATAAAGAATAACAACAAAGTAGTTAGTAATTAGTAAAGAGTGAAGAGACAGTAGGTACCAGTCTAACATGCCTCGTACTTACAATCGTCCTCATCCGTATCGCAATCTGAGAATCCATCACATACATCCCATAGACTTATACACGAGCAATCACCACACGTGAACCTAGATGATGGGCAGACGCACCCTGAAAGTACGCGCGCGGAGAATGTCATCATTGCACGAAATATATGTGGATATAATGACGTCACGCACTCGCGAAGCATGACAAGGCCACGTGGTACGGTCAGGGCCTCAGGACGCATGCGCATTCACATGGCGGCGAGAACGCGAATGTAGTAACGCCACCGAGCGCACTATACTTGAGAATCATCAGTCTAATTTTCACAGATAACATTGCAGGTAAATTCAACATCATAACTAGTAGCTATTCATACACGGCGAGCGTAGAATCATGTAGTCGTGTGAATTATGACCGAATGTGTTCGCCATGTACGTATATTTACAATTGCGCAAATTATGTAGTAGTCTAATGCTTTTAATAGCAATTTATTTATTTATTTATTTACTTATTTATGTATTTATTTACTTATTTATTTATTTATTTAGTTAGTTAGTTACTTAGTTAGTTAGTAAGTTAGTTAGTTATATATTTATTTATGTATTTATGTATTTATTATTTATTTATTTATTTAACACAATATGTGACATGATTACAGCATTAAATCCATGGACCTTTTAACAATGCGTTGATGGGATAATAGTATGAACAATATTGTTGTAGTAGTAGTAGTAATACTAATAGTATTAATAGAAGTACTGATAATTCTAATTACCATGGCAATCCGACTCGTCTGACATATCTCCACAGTCATCATGGCCGTCGCAAACACGAGAGAGTGGAATGCAGAATCCCCTTCCTCCACAGTCATATTCACGTACATCATCGCACTCCCCTGAACGTAACGAGATCGATTATTTACATTATTAAATTCATAATAACTATTTATCTTTATTATTATTATTATTATTTAGGAAATTATGAATAGTCTAGGACGCGTTGTGTTGTGCTGCAGTGGTTTAATGCGTTTACGTAGCAGCGCGTCTAGATTATACGTCAGTTATTAAACAGAGCAGGTCAATTCGCCACGCAAAAAAAATATATTATTCTGTCTATCTATCGGTCTGTCTGCGGTTTCGTTCGCCAATCCGTACGTTCGCCCATCTGTCTATCCGGCTGTGTATCTCAGCGTCTATCTCAGCGTCTATCTCAGCGTCTATCTCAGCGTCTATTTATCCGAACGCGTGTTTTGAATTCGCCTGGTGTAATAACTTTCAAGCAATGCCGATATGTACAAGATACGGGAGCACTGCTAAGATTACATACCGCAGTTTTCCTCGTCGCTCTCGTCAGTGGTCCCACAGTCATATTCACCGTCACACACGTAGCTAAGAGGAACACAGATTCCACTAGCGCACGTATACTCTTCTGAGCTGCAGGAAGGTGGCGCTGCGAGCAAAAAATATGTTTATTCAAATACTTCGTAATAGTATAAAAAAATTATTTCTACGTCGCTGTAAGGTTCCTTGTCGTCAAATTCTATTCAAATAATTCGTAATAGTATTAAAAAAATTCTTTCTAATTTGCCCGGTAACCTCGTGACTGTTACTAATAATAGCGGTCACAATTATTATCGCTATCAGAATAATAACTGGAATAGGCCTACTAGTATTATCCTAATCATACTCCTAATACTAATCCTAGTTTATCTTATCTTCATTCGTCATGTTAATCAAATGATCATATGATTATCCATCCTTTATTCATCATCTCATTCATCATGATCATATTTATAATTATAATTGTATTCGTATTAAATATAATTAACTTCTTAATCACGCAAAATTGTCGTATTTTTAGTGTAATTTTCGTTACGTAGATGAGTCATGTACAGAGTGCGTATAGTTGTTATACTTACGACAGCTATATTCATCGGTACTATCCCAGCAGTCTGGTATGCCGTCACACTGTTTAGTTGCGTTAATACATTCCCCGTTAGCGCATTGATATTGATCTGGCGAACAGGTCTTTTCAGCTGAAATGCAATAAATCATTTTGTTTCTAGAATAGCTATAATCTATAATAGCTAATAAATCTATTCAGTAAATCACCATCTCTTTCACTCGTACGCGAGTGCGTGTGTGCGTGTGTGCGTGTGTGCGTGTGTGCGTGTGTGTGTGAGTGCGTGCGTGCGTGCGCGCTTGTTAAGAGGTGAATATTGGTGTGTCTGCGTGTATGTAAAACGCATTCTCGATATTATCTTCTCGCCTGCCATCTCAGTACGTATCGTGCTCATCGCGCAAACACATCTTTGACATCCCACGTAGAACGCCAACAATGACTGTCAAACAAGATGGCGTTATATATTACCATCTATTAAATGACATCAAATACAAGCTAAAAAAACACCAATTTAAATAGCATTAGGAACAACGACTGTATATCAGTGTCTTGCATTATTAATTGTAGCTTTATTCCGAAATAAAAGTGTGCTGTTTCTTTTCTCGAGTTTTGTGGTTTGCATCTATGACGATCTGTTGGCTTACCGCAGCCAGCTTCATCGGATCCGTCGCCACAATCATCTGCCCCGTCGCATTGCCAGCCGGCAGGAATACACCTCTTGTTATCACAGGAAATCTCCCAGGTGGCGCAAGTGTACTCCGGTATGCAGTCAGCGTCTAGTACTGTGCAGTTGAAGCGTCCACTATCGCATGAACTGTGGCATGAAACGAAGGCAGTAGAATTAGAGAAATACAGTATGCGTTTGGCGAAAATCAACTGATTTTGAACAGCGGGTTTCTTGACGTTCTTCGGTAAATGCATTTTTTGTGGGCGTAACCACAGCGTGCAGCAACGGCGTATGTAGTCTATCTCTGCGGGCTTGTACCAACAGCATGGTGGTCTTGGTGTCATATATATATATATATATATACGAGCACGCTCACATATGCGTGCGCATATGCGTGCTTTTTTTGTTGATTAGAGAAAACCAGCCAAGTGACTCACTAACCAGTTCTGGCAGTTTTCGTAGTACACTGTCCCTTGTTCGTACTGAACGCCCATGTGATAGCACGGGCATTTGTCCGCCGGTATGCAGCGGTTGCCTGTCCAGTAACAAACACAACTTCATATTACGACTGTCGTATCTAGATTCATGCACATAATTTGGTTTATTTACATAGTCTGTTCAAACTAGGCGTGAGCTCGCGTAGCTTTCCACTAGTTTAAATATATATATTCCATTTTGCACGGGCTAACTGTCGGATAGCCAGCGTAAAGCGATGCTATAAAGAACAGAGAACTAAGGATTTCTATTAGACGCGTTCTGCTGTCGTGGAATTGGTCACCTTCGCTCGCGGTAGATTTTTGTTTGACGCTCGTTCGTGAGTATATACGCAAGTATCTCAATCAATCTCTATCGCGAGTATACGCTAATCTAGTAAACATTTCGTATTAGTGAATATGATCCTTATATTTATACATATATCCCCTGATCCATCGCAGTGGACTCACCGTGTGCTATGTAGCCGGGAGGACAGAAGCATCCTTCTACACATCCGCTTGCGTAGCATTCCGGTCCGGGGTTGTCTCCTATGTTCTGACAGGTTTCCTGGCACATTGGCCCGCATGCTTGATACGTGAGCCCATTCTCGCACTGTATAGCTGTGGGAAAATATATCCTGGATATATATCTATACATATATATCGATATATATATATATATATATATATATCCGGATAGCTGTGCGAAAATAAATCCACATATATAAAGCATAATATATATATATATAATATTTATAAGTCCATTTTCCACATGTACGCATTTAGGAGATACACCCAGCAAAGCTGATAATACAAAATACACTTTTATACACTATTTATATATATAGTATACAGTACTCTGCACCTATACGTTCTTGTTAATACTAATCTAAATCCGATCGGTCAGAAGAAGTACAAATTATTCATAAAAAAGAGCCGTTTTTTTGCGATACGAGTATACTACGAGAAAACTCACCAACAAAAAAGGAATAGATAACGTCGAAAATAATATATTTATGATGATGTATATAGTATATCGATATACAATAATTTTAGGTAGAAACAACGAAAGCTATTGTCAACCATATTTCTTGGTTCGGAAGTATATTACGCTCAAATTCGTAACCCGTTAACACGACAAATGTCTGTTAATAGCATATATATATATATATTGTGCCGGTCGCCATAGTGCGGGAGCCACAGGTAGCCATGGTAACAGAAGAATGTGAGAGCGGGACTTTTGTTGATCGCGTCAAGAGTTGTTTTGTTAACGTGCGGGCGGGCGTAATTTAGACCGGGCGTTAAGCGATCTCTTGACGGGCAAGTTAGCGATATCCCTTATATCGCCGGTACAGTTACGCACATTGTTACGTGCCGTTAAAGATAATCTGCCTAATTACCTGGCTTTGCCACGAGCTATTGAGGAGGCTTTTTTCTATTATTATGATTTGCTCGAGACAGTGGTAGTGCCCACTGCCACGTCTTTTCATGTGCTAACGTTTTTACCATTAAAACATGTTGGCCAGATTTTCGATGTATATCAGATCATATCTACACCCGTTTTCATTCCAAATTCTACAGCTTATGTCTATTCATCAGTTCACGTTACGTGGCATTTGCGCAAAATAGAGCACGTTATTTTTTTTCCCTCAGGTCGCACGCATCGAGCCATGCATTGATAACAATCACGATATTTGTCGGTCCGCTTCCGAAATATATTATGTCGCAAATTCTTTTGACTGTATAGTGCTCTTTTCTTTAATCACGAGGAGCAGATTCCGCGGCGCAGATTTCGCGCGGCTTTACCTTGACCGTTGCATGTCACAATTGGGTAATTATTCACCCCCTGTTACTACAGACATCCGAATTTTATCTCAGCAGGTTGTCACTTTGACTTTCGGCTGTTCAGCGCATTCACGTTCATTCAATTAGCCCGAGTTCCATTCATTTTCGGGAGTTTAGAGACAACGGGCATGGGTTTTAATTTACTGCGTGGGCACCACGCACATTGTGTCGGCACATCGTTTTGTACTGATTTAGTACTGATATTGAATTGATTGTATTGTATTGTACTGATTATTTAGTAAGATTTATTTGTAGGGTTATATCGATAGTCACCTTATTAGTTCGGTTTACATTGTTGTTGTTTTGTTGTGTATTTCATCTTTAGCCGTGTAGGACCGGCGAGCGAATACTCCTACTGTATCTCCTGCATGTCGTAGAAGGCGACTAATCGGAGTTGGTGTCAGGAAGCGCATCCGGCCGTAAAACACTAGTTTCGGTATTGCCTATTGTTTTTTTTTATTATTGTATTTTGTGAGTGATTATGTTCAATGTTATTTTGAGGCTGTGTCATTGTATACACAGACTTGTTGCTATTGTGTCGTGGTGAGTGTTAATTATTAGGTAATAGATAGCGTTTGCTAACTTACTACTTACAACATTGTCACTACTGAAGATCAATTGTTTGATGTTCGTTAATTGTTTAACTTTGTGGTAAATGTTCGTTAATCGTTCATGTTAAATGTTGTATGTTTATATGTTTGCTGTGTTTTAGAACTACACTTTGTGCCGTCTCCTCAAGGCACGCAAAGTAATTTGCGGTGGAGTAGTTAACAGCAGGCCCAGTTAATAGTAAACAGCGGCGCTCGTTAATAAGAATCAGAGATAGCTAATCTCACAAAATTACAAGACAATTAAAATGTAAAGTATAATGAAGACCAACACCCCAGATAAACGCATCGATGATCTTCGATAGGGAAGACACCGGCGGTGGAAGCTCTTAGAATACAAGCGAAGTGCGCATGTGAAATCTACACGTGAGTAGAAACGTATTGTAAAGTCCATTTCAACTAATTACACGATTAACCCGACACCTTGGCTGACAGCCTAAGCACGTGCAGACTGAATGTCTT